TATTAAATACTAATAAATTTTTCTAAGCATGTAATAGATGGTTATCTACACTTTTCGCAAAAATTAAGGAAACAAAAAAATTTTCGAAATTTTTTGGCGATTTTCAACAGGCTGTATTTCAGCGAAAAATGGTCGTACAGGAAATAAAAAAACAAAGCTTTTGAAGCTTGAAGACTCTAGTTTTCAGATATTTTGGTTAAAAATTTTGGAGCACTGGTAGCCATGCAATCCTTGGATAAAGCACGAAGAAAAAATTTTCCAAATTTTTTACATTTTTTTTTTCGCTCTACGGGCATGGAAAAATTTTTTCAAGCTAGACCAATGTATAGGTCGCATACACGAAAAAAATGAAACCCGACATGACTGAGTCCTGTGCTGCACTAGACTCATTCGGGTGCGCACACGACTCAGTCTAGTGTAAACTAATTTTTCTTCCATTTTTTCTTGCACACGACTGAGTCTGGTGCAGAAAACGAACCAGTCAGGTTTCATTTTTTCCGTGTAGCCTGCTTATTCAGCTTCAATTTGCTTTTTGCGAGACACGGATACGACCATTTGTCTTTGAAATATCGAATTTTGAATGCAAAAGGATCCTTTTTCACTCAACTGCCGATATCTCTGGAGCTACTGGTCGCCCAGCAAGCGGACAAGGGGTTTCGTTTTCTGCAAAAAATTTTCTACAAAAATCTATTATGGTTAATTTAAAAAAAAAATTTTTTTTCACCTTTAACGTTAACGTAAAAAAAGAGCAAAAAAATGCCATTTTCCCTTTTTTTGGTTAATCGACTGTATCTTCGTCAATATTGGGAGAAAGGTTTTGGTCAGAGGAAAGTTCTTTAGCCCAATGTATCCTGAAGAACCCCCTAAATTTTTAGATCGATCGGTTCAGCGGTTTTTCTGGACCATTCAATTGAAATTTCGAAAAAATTAAAGGAACAAGTTTTTGTTCCTTAAACTTAACCTAATCTTATTTTTAAAAAGATAATTTTTTTTAAATCAATAATTTCATTTTTTTTTTACTTTTTACTCAATTTTGTGTTTTTTGAAGATTAATTAACAAAAAAAAATCAAAAAAAATTTTGTTTGAAAATTAAAAAAAAAATTTGAAAAAAATTTTTTTTTCGTTTCCAAGGAAATCAAGGTTTTTGACAACAATTTTGATTGATGACTGATTCACCGCCGGCATTAGCGTTATCCAAAGCATGCCACGTGGAGGTTGCACGGTCGGATTTACGCTTCTTTTGTGCTTACGCACGTGTGTTCATGATTCTTCAAAAAAAATAAGACCCTGTGGTTCGTCAGCTCCACAGTATTTACGATTACAGTGTGCACCTTATAGGGGTATCAACTTTAAATTTATTCAATAAAATTTTTTTAGGTAAAATAAAGGTTAAAATGTGTCCATAACTTTAGCGAGGTGAGTCAGAATAGGCCTCTTGATTATGTTTTATTTTTTTTAATTTTCAAAAAAAATTTTTTTTGGAAATTTTTTTGAAAATTTTTTTTGGATTTTTTTTTTTTTGTTAATTAATCTTCAAAAAACACAAAATTAAGTAAAAAGTAAAAAAAAATGAAATTATTGATTTAAAGAAAATTATCTTTTTAAAAAAAAGATTAGGTTAAGTTTAAGGAACAAAAACCATGATCCCTTAATTTTTTCAAAATTTCAATCGAATGGTCCAGAAAAACCGCTGAACCGATCGATCTAAAAATTTAGGGGTTTCTTCAGGGTACATTGGGCTAAAGAATTTTTCTCTAACCAAAGCCTTCCTCCCAATATTGACGAAGATACAGTCGATTAACCAAAAAAAGGGAAGATGGCATTTTTTTGCTCTTTTTTTACGTTAACGTTACAGGTGGAAAAAAAATTTTTTTTAAATTAACCATGACAGATTTTTGTTGGAAATTTTCTGCAGAAAACGAAACCCTTTGTCCACTTGGTGGGCGAACAGTAGTTCCAGAGATATCGGCAGTTGAGTGAAAAAGGATTCTTTTGCATTCAAAATTCGATATCTCGAAGACAAATGGTCGTATCCGGGTCCCACAAAAAGCAAATTGAACCTGAATAAGCAGGCTATGCGACCTATGCATTGGTCTAGCTCGAAAAAATTTTTCCATGCCCGTAGAGCGAAAAAAAAATGTAAAAAATTTGGAAAATTTTTTCTTCGTGCTTTATCCAAGGATTGCATGGCTACCAGTGCTCCAAAAAATTTTTAACTAAAAAATCTGAAAACTAGAGTCTTCAAGCTTCAAAAGTTTTGTTTTTTTATTTCTTGTACGACCATTTTTCACTGAAATACAGCCTGTTGAAAATCGCCAAAAAATTTCGAAAATTTTTTTGTTCCCTTAATTTTTGCGAGAAGTGTACATGTAATATAAAGAAAATTTATTAATCAACTAACTAACAAGTATTGATCAGTAATTAAGGAGATCCATGCAAAGTAGTCAAATTTTTAAAACTTCCTGAAAATTTATAAATTCAATCTACGTAGCCTAATAATTAATAAAAAAAAATTAAAAAACAGTAGATTTCCGGGATATTTAATCAAATAATCAGGTTTGAAAATTGTAATTTTTGCATGTAGGTAAATGGAGATTCCACACTGATAGAAATTTTAACTTGACTCAAGAGCAAAAATCTTGAACCAAGAACACCAATTGGAAGAAAATGAATTTCTTGAGCCAAGAGGAAAAATTCTTGGGTCAAGATATGTTTTCTTAATTCAAGAGAATCTATCTTGACTCAAGAATTTTTCCTCTTGGCTCAAGAAATTCATTTTCTTCCAATTGGTGTTCTTGGTTCAAGATTTTTGCTCTTGAGTCAAGTTAAAATTTTTATCAGCGCACCAGCTGTGTATTTGGTTAAAAATTAAATGCAATTAACGATTTAAAAAAAATTTTATTTTCATTGAATTTAATGGAAAAAATAATAAGCTTTCGATTGAAACATAAAAAAATAGGTTTCCGAACGTATTACGGAGATATTTTATATTTTGTATGAAAAATCACAAGGAACTTCCGTTCTTTAAAGTCTTGTATTCGACTTGGCAACATCGCTTGTGCAGTTACCCGGCGCATAAGTATTAACCGCAGATTTTTAAATGCTAGAAGATCTTAGTCATTTTAGTTAGACAGTAAATACAAATAAATTTTAAGGTTAGGAATCTCTTGCGGTGTTGTCAAGTGTATACCGGTGATTCAGAGTACTATATTTTTATTAGCCAATTGAAATGATAATAATTATTTAACGAGTAAATTTTTCGAAAATTTCTTCAAAAATGTTATTAATTAATTTAAAAATTAATTTTAAGATGCATAACAAAAGTATTTCTACGTATTATTTCGTTATCGACATTCTTTACACTAGGAGGGTACTTGGATCTCCTTAATTGAATAAATAATTGAGTAAAGTTGAATTTTGTCGAAATTATATTGTGAAATACGAAGTCTACAACTGTTGTTATCAAGTGTTGTTTATTTTTGTGCACTTAGATTTAAAAATTTAACAAATGAACCTACAATCGTGGTCATTAATTTAAGTATGTTTTTAATATTACTGGAAAATACCCGTTTGTAAACTAGAACGTTTATTAACTTTAAATTTGCAAATCAGTTGATAATGTCATTTGTAAAACTAGTGGCAAATAAAAAATGATATTAATGAAATTAGCGAAATGAAAATTTTACCAAATATAAATTCAATCATTTATAAAATAGCGAAAAACAAAAATCTGTGGCTATGTGAATTTAGCCAACTCTTACTGCAGAAACTTATAAAATTAGCCGATTGTAAACTTTACGAATTGTAAAATTAGCCGTTTTTAAACTTCTTATAACTTTTGAATGGGTCGATCGGTCGAATCTGCTCTAATTTTCAGAAAAACTAAATTTATATATGACTATACATAATCTCATATGAGTTTTAAATTAATAAAAAAATTTTTAATAAAAGAAATTTTTCTTGGTTCGAGTAAATTTTACTTGATTCAAGAATTTTTCGTCTCAATTCCAGACAATAAAACTCTTTAAAATTATTTTCTTGGTTCAAGAATTTTTCTCTCAATTCAAGTTAATTTTTTTTTTTTTTTTTTTCAGAGCACGACTTTTACATTGAATTTTATTTATATAAAATTGATAAAACTTAATCAATTATAACTTAATTTTCAACGCTACAATAATTAATTTTAAAAAAAATCATTTAACAGTTTTTCATCAGTTACATGATCAATGATCAATAACCGTAGATCGTATAAGCTAAAAAAAATTGTTTTTTTATCGTCAAATTTAAAAAACTACGCCATCTTTTGGCGCTAAACTTAAAAAAATCATCTAGAGTAAATAAAAATCTGTTAGTATAAAATATAAGTTAGTTCGAGAAGGACCGCGAGTGAGCTGCGCGCACGTCAACCAGTCAGATCAATGTGAACTTGATTCCGCGGCGATTCTGTGCCGAAGGACGGGCGAGGTCATCATAATTTATTATATTTCTGCTCCGCAGATACCAGAAAAGCTGGTTGTAGTTATAATACAAGAAATATATCTATAGTTACTTACAATACGTGAGACGGAGAGAGATTACATTACAGTTTACACGCGTTACGTTTAACTTATAATATAATAACGTTGCAGACGCCATCTGTAATCTCAACACATGTCGCATGTCAGTAACCATCAGTGTACACTAAAGTCGGCGCGTAAGTTTGATGTTTCTGTCAAATGTTGTGTCTAATTCGGTTCAAATTTATTTTGTGAAATAAATTAATTAAATTTTTTTAAATTAAATTGTTCTATTGCAGTTTTAGAGTAACTTGTGCCATAAAATATCTGCAGAGATTAAATATAAGACCGCAATATATATAATATACAAGGATCGTAGATAAAATAAAATATAATATAATATCGTGAACGAGGAGTATAGAGAGAAAATAGACCTGACTTGTAAGAGGGGAAAGTTTGGGATCAGGACACGTGAATTCTAGTATTCAAGGACAGGAACAAAAATGTCGGGCTCTAAAATCCAGAGAATTGATTTAGAAAAGCCAAGATGGGATCAAAGTACTTACTTAGGACGTGCCAAGCATTTTTTCAACTTAACTAATCCCTTGAATGTGTTTGCGTCAGACAGTGAACTTGACAGATCACGGGAAATTGTTTCTAAATACAGGCAAGAATTTTAAATATTTTCTTTTGATTGTTATCACAATAAGTATCTGTTGAGGGTGAAAGTAACTAACAATTTAGTTTATTTTTCATTTTATTAATTTTTTATGTTTATTGTTGATTTTTTCAATTTTTTGTTTACATTTCTTTTAATTTATTACTTTTTTTAATTTTTATAAAACATATTAAATTTGAGAATTACTACCTGATCAATTTTTAATTTCAAAAAAAAGCTTACCATTAGAGAAATGTTTTATAAAAATTGCATTAATAAAATTGAAAAATTTTACAAGTAAAATTAAAAAAAAATATTTTTTACAATAATTTTTTGTTATAAAAAATTCTAAAAATAATTAGACGTTTGTTAACTTCAGTACCATTTGTTGAATTTTTTAAAAAACTTAATTTTTCAAATTTCATTGATTTTATGTGACAGAAAAATTAACAGACATTTGTCAATTTTTGGAGTTTTTTGAATGAATAAATTATAAAAAAAAAAAAAAATAAAGAAAAATTTTCCTACATAGAGACAAAAAAAATATTCTCACTTTTTTTTAAATATTTTTTTTTTAATTTTAGTGTCATTCCTTAATTTATTCACAAAATACTAAGAATGTTATTTTTTAATAATTTTCTGTGAAAATTTATTTGTCAAAAATATTAGATGTTTCATTTTTGTGATATTTTATTTGTTGAAAAGTCATTTAATCTAAGTCTGTTATTTTCCTTGTCATCTATTTTTATCCTCACAGTTTTAAATTAATTGTTTCTTTGAATAATATTTTTATTGACGTCAATGAACTCCAAATCTCAAGTAAAAACTACCGTACGTATCGTATTAGTACGACAGTAAATTACCACAACTAATAAAAATCCTTGTTGTATATAATTATTTTTTAATTTATTCAATATGGTTTTACGATTATCAGCCGCAAGACGCAATCGTTTTAAACGGGTCAACAATCTTGGTTACGAAACACATGAATTTTATTTTATTCAGATGAAATTCTGTGTTATAAACCCGAACGCGTTAATAAAAAATATATTTTTATATTATGTATATGATAAGGATAAGATAGTGCTCAATGCTAAACTTAATTACTAATTAACAGTTAAGTGTTCTAATAACGACACATTTTTTATGTTTCAGACTCAATACTCAATTTCTGGCTTGTCTAACTAATAAAAATTAATGATTTCAGAAAAGGAGAATCGCTGGAAAGCCTGAAAATAACCGAAGATGAACTGTGGAAGAATAAATATTTATATGATAGTGCGTATCACCCAGATACTGGAGAAAAAATGCTCGTTATTGGACGCATGAGTGCCCAAGTTCCCATGAATATGTTTATTACTGGCTGCATGTTGACTTTTTACAAGTAGGAGTTTTTTCATTTTTTGGTAAAAAAAGGTCTAAATTTTGGGAGTAATTTATTCAAAATTTCAGGAAAAAGATATTTATTCTAAATGACTAGTTTTTCATCAATTTTTTCACTTTTTGATGTAACAATTTTTAGTGGAACTCATAGATGGCACTTTTACACTCTAATTGTCAGATAAAAGAAGAGATTCAATTTTGATAAAAGCAATTTCATATTTGGACTAAAAATTACCGTTTATTCTTTTAAAGTTGCAGTTTAATATTAAAATTAATCTGATAATCTTTAAATTAATATTACTAAAAGTTTTAAAAATTTAATTATTTTTTTCTTAATTGAAAAGAACTGTAAATACTTTCAGGTTATAAGTTCTCTTTTTTTGTCTAAAGTTGTTGAACTAATACTGCACTTGCACATGAATGCAAACTCGATAACTATTATTAACAATTTTAAATTTTCAGAGAATTGTAACACAAGTTTTTGAAATTTGTACTAAAATTTCAATTATTATGTACAATTTATTTTAATTGTATGAAAGTGAGGCGCCACCTATGATCAGGTATAAAAAATCAAAGAATTAGCGGAATAATGAAAGATATAAGATAGATTTAAAAAAAATAAAATTTTTGAATTTCAAAAGTCTTCAAATTTACATATTGATCAACATTTTGAAGGTGAAATATTAATTTTTGAACACTCATATATTTTTTTCATATTAATAAGAATCAAAAGTATAACGATTTCAGAAAAAAAAATTTCTCTGATCCGTCAATTTTTCAATTTTTGAAATTTGGTTAAATATATAAGTAATAAAATCTTAACTCACATCTTATTCAATGTAATTACCCAAAATAGTGAATATTAAAAAAATTGATGCGCTGGTAATATTTTTTTCTTATTTTAAAACGTTATACTATCAATGCGCACCATGAAAAAATAATAATATTAAAAAATGAATGCATTACCTTCATATTTTATTATCAAAAATAAAAAATTATATTTGTATAGTTTTTTATATTTAATTATTTTAAAATAAAACAAATTTTTACACGTGGAGAAAAATTTCGTTAATTTCTTCGATTTTTGATTTTTTTATAACTGAAAATAGATAAAGCCTTACTTCTGTACATTTTTCCAAATATTGATCATGGATTAATTAATAACTAAGTTTGAAAAACTTCTTAAAATATTCATCAGACGTTAAAATTTTCTATAATATTGAGAGAAGATAATTTATAAAATCTTGTTTAAAAGAAATTTCCTAATTTTTCTAAATATTGCTTATAAACAATAAATCTTGAAAATTAGTTTTCATATTTAAAAAAAAAATCTGTTTCTTAAAATAACATTTGCTAGCTAATGACTTTTCTGTCTGAAAACGTGAAACTAAAATTAACCCCGCCTACATCTGTACCAGAGGCTACAAGTCTATTTCAATGACGACTTAAAAATACCCAGAACAAGAACATAAGACTGCTTATTCTAATAACTCAATTTTTTTTTTCAGATCTACACCAGCTGTCGTGTTCTGGCAATGGTTCAATCAGTCCTTCAATGCGGTGGTTAATTACACAAATCGCAGTGGCGCCAGTCCAATTCCCACCGAAACTTTGGTACGCAGCTATGTAGGCGCAGTAGGTGGCGCAGTTATCACTGCTTTGTCACTGAACCGTTTGGCGCGACGCGCGCCCCCTCTGGCAGGTCGTTTGGTTCCATTGGCAGCTGTAGCTGCTGCTAACTGCGTAAACATTCCATTGATGAGGATAACTGAGTTGCAAGAAGGAATTGAACTTCAAAATGAGGAAGGAGCAAAGTTGGGGAATAGTAAAAAAGCTGCTCGGGAAGCCATTGCTTCTGTTACTATGTCCAGGATTTTGATGGCATCTCCTAGTATGGGTAAGTCAGTTCACATTATTTAACTCCAATTTGATCAACTTTAACAACAATAAAAATAACAATAATATTAATTGTTAAACCAGTTCTTTCACCAATACTGATGAACTTCTTGGACCGGCGCAACATGTTAGCGAAAGCAAAATGGGCTGCAGCGCCAATCCAATTAGTAGTTTGTGGTGTCTGTTTAACCTTCGCAACTCCTTTGTGTTGTGCTCTTTTTGCTCAACGAGTGCCAGTTTCTATCGACCACCTAGAGCCTGAAGTACAGGAAGCAATCCGTGCTAAAAATCCAACAGTCAATATGCTTTACTACAATAAAGGGTTATGAACGGCGACATACAAGGTTATGTTTCAAAAGTTGGGTGCAATTTTCTTGTTGTTACTTTAAATTTATCTTTCTATTTGATAGAAAAATTAACTTTATTCAAACGAAAAAAAAATCTTTAACTGAGAGGAAAAACTGTTCAAAGTTTTCTCTTGAATTTAGTTAATTTTTCTATCAGCTAACAGATGGCCATATTGTTAAATAACTGTTTTGTTGTGGTTATGTTACTGTTACTTGCTGCGAATAAGAATCTCATAAACATTCCTCAGAATGTATTGTACACCTAACCGTGAAACAAAGACACTTACAACTTATAAATACAAAAAAAAACATTTCATTATATCTAAGAAATAAGAAATGAATCTCTGGGAGGCATTTACGAGGACTGAGATCTTACTCAGGGGATAAATGACAATAAATAGATGATTAATCTAAACGATTATTTGGTACTTTATTAAATATTTTATCATAATGAACATTATTTAATTGATAAAAAATAATTATTAATTAATATTGGTATCAATAGACAGAATCATCTCTTACAGGAACAGTTGGCTTGCGCTTGGAGTCCAAGTGAGTGTTGTACGCGGAGTGCGTAAGGGCATAAGGTTTTTTTCTATAGAAATTTTCCTTGGTGTTAAAATGTATCGGTGGAGGAATGGGTTTAATTTTTCTGCCATGCCGACCATCTTTGCGATGCCAGAGACCACTGCGGGGTCGATTTCCAAGCTCACGGTTTCTCTGAGCGCTGCCAATAGGTGTCGATCCGTGACTGATGTTGGAGAGCCGGCCCACGGTAGCCATACAGGTTTTCGAGAGGCTGAAAAGCTTCTTGCTAGGCATCTGGACGATGACTCGATCGTCGCCATCTCGACGGAGAATGGTTCCTGAGGTTCCAGCTGCATGGATCAAGAAACCTCCTAAGCCTGGGTATTTTTCGACGCAGTTCACGACAGTGCCGATAGGTAGAGCTCCGAGAGGATAGGCGTCGCCCTCAAAGGCTCTTACGGTCATTCTAGGAATTCCTAAAGATGTCCGGATTACTTGGCCAGCTTTCATGTTCTCGGTTGCGAGAATGTAACTCAGTTCCTTGCCGTGGGCTACCAGAGCAACGTGGGCTGTTCTGCAGCCGTCTTGAAAGACTTCGATGACTCGCTCTTCTTTGGGGGGAGCATCTGGGTCCGTTGGTCCATCACGCTTCCATTTTATCCAGTGATACTTGTGTTTTATTCCACCGCCTATTCCAATGTTTACTAGTCTTCCTGAAATTGATAATTGAAGAATGAAGATTGTAGATTTTTTCGATCAATGAACAAAACTAAAGGACATAATATGTCCTGAACTATAGTGTTGACAAAAATTTTCAGACAAAATAAAAAATGTTAGTTTTGTAATGTAAAACAGTTACTTTTTCATGTATATTTTAATAAGGATGATTCAATTTTATAGATTTTTTCTAAGGACATTCTAGAATCTGCCCTTGGAGTCTGAATTGCATTAGAAGAAACCAAAAATCTTACTTAGTAGTTTAATTAGTGAAAATTACTGAAAAATGGTGAATTTTTTATAGAAAAAATACTTTTGATAATGATGATGCAATTTTCTAGACTTTTCAAAGGACATTATAGAATATATCTTTGCATTTCGAAACTATGAGTTATGAGGAAGCAAAAATATTTGCTAGACATATCATGAAATTAATAGATATCTGTCAATTTTTCTTATTTTTATAACTAAATTACTATGGACAAATTTTAATTGAAAAATTCCACATCTAGAAATTAAAAACAAAATTTTGAAGTGCAATTAAAAATTTTTTAATTTTTTTTTCTTCATTAATTTAAAATAAAAACAAAAAGAAATTGTCAAATGTCTGCTAAATTACTCAGAAGCCTGTTTATTGAAGAATCTCCTCATATTAAGTGCTCGGACAGATTGGCAGCTAAATTAAATAATGTCACGTTTAAAATTCCTAATTTTTCTACAACTTTGTTCGAACATTTGTTTATAGTAGCTGTAATACGTCTCAGGAGAGAATTACCGACTAAGATGAAAAATTCACTTAGTCTTGAAACTTTCAAAATAAAAGCATTCAACTTCTTTCTAATGGTAAGCTGAAGGAAAATTAGTAATTTAAATTTACTGTATGTTTCCTAGAAACTTGAAAACATTGTTTGAAATACTATATGAGCCAAAATTAAAATTAAAATCAAAACTACTATTGTAGAATCAAATTTTTTGTTTATATAATTATGTTATACTTATCATCCTTTAAACTGTATATTTACGTGCACTAAACCTTACCTTTGTATGAAATTTTGCCATACGGCTGCACGCCTTGGCATTTAAATTTGAATAAATAAATAAATAAAAAAAAAATATTAATGAGTCACATTATCATGTCATTATATTTTTTATTTATTAAATCAGTAGATATTTTTTATTGCGAAAAAAAAAATTAGACAAATGAACAATTTCTATTATTTTTTCCATTTAAATACTAATTTCACATTGAAAGTTTTTTATCATTATTGAAGAATTCGTATTGCTAACTTTTTTTTTTAATTTTCATTTAAAATTTAGTTCCTTAAAAAACACTAAAATTAGATATGTCTCTGACAAATTTTCGGAAAAGAACAAAAAATAAAAAAACATAACGCATATCAAATTAAAATTACACATAAAAATTAAAGAAAATCCAGAAATTAAATTACAATAATTTCACAGTTAATAAAAACAATATATTTTACCTGTAATAGGATCCCTTCCAGCAAGATTAGTAACCTGAAGCGGTTTGACGGTGTACTTGTCCTCGAAATGTACGAATCTTCGGTAACTTTTTCCTTTAATACCAGGTTTTGGCTTCTCGACATATGTCCAAGATGTTGTGGGACGAGATTGTTGCACTTGACAAGCTACCGAGCCGTTGTAAATAATTAAATCGAAATTTTTACCAATAACACGTTTTAACAACCCGGACATCGCCATTTTTACCACAACAACAAACTCTCTATAACAATAATATTATGAGTGTATATAAGTATAATAACGTTAGTTTCTACCGCCCTCTATGCGGTAATATTTCGTAACTCAGTTGATAAGAATCTTCTTTATCGTGTAACAACTTTGTTATCTTTTCCTATAAAAGTAGATACGCGCGTGCGCATAGTATCTCATGGAAACTATCTTATCAACTACTCTATTGTTAATTATTAACCCTTCAGTACCCGCGCTATAAGATTTTTACTCATGCTCGGTTTCAATCTCAATTATTTATTTAAATTCAAATGGAAAGGCCCGTTGAAAATTTTTTTATCATCCTATCCGTAATTTTATATTCTTAAAATTTGGGCAATAAAAACGTGTTAAATTTGTTTAGAAATAACGAAAAAAAAATGATTTTTAGAGGACATGAGATTTTTTCTCATGGCGAGAGTATTAAAAGTTGTTAAAAATCGAACTGTTCGACTCCCTACGGCGTAGAACGGCTCTTTTCGGTAGCACTCCGCCGACATATTTGTGTAGATAGTATGTTAATTAATTTTGAGATTTTCTTCTTATGTCGAGAGTAACGAAGGTGAGCTGAATAATGTGAGTATTGAAGAGTTGAATAAAATAATAATAATAACTAGAAACTTACAGACACTGTTAAAGGGACGAGAGTTGCGAATTATGAATAAAAAAAAACGTTGGCTTAATGATTTTTCGATATTTTTTATGACACATATACACGGAGAGAAATTTATAGGAATCTTTCCAACAATTATGGGAATGGATCCTATAATAAAATTATCATTATAGGCATTAATCCTATACTCATTATGGGAACCATACCCATAATTTATTGGAAACGTTCCTATACAATAATGGAATAGCTTCAATATATTATGGGAATGACGCACATAATAATAGAAAAAAATTTATTTTCTTAATAATGAAGCAATCACTTCAAAAATATAAAGTAATTATCATGTATTTTTTTGCTAATAACATTTTTTTTTGTAAATAAAAATTGACCTTTCACTAGAGTGAAAAAATTTCTTTTTCATAATTTTTATTCACGTATGTTCTTAATCTTGAATTATTTATTCCAGCTCAGTGATTATTGTGTTAAATAATATTGAAAAATATTGTAGCAATTTCATTCTCCAATAAAAAGGATATTTTCTCACTATACAATTGTAGAAGCAAAATAGATATGGAAATTCATTGTTTATTTCCACAATTTCATTTTATTTTTAAAGCAAATTATTTATTTAAAATGCATACGTTGAGCCGCGAAAACATTTGAAAATTTGAAATTTCAAAACAATTGGAAATTTTATTTTATTTAAGAAATTTTTTTTTTAATTAACTTTTCTTTTTTTTTTAATTAATTTTATTTTAATTTACAAGCATATA